AAAAAAAAAAAAAAAAGAAAAAAAAAGAAAGAAAGAAAAAAGAGGGAGAGATAATTATGGTAAAAGAACAAAACGCGTATGGCATATAGCAAAGTTTAAGGGAACGTATTCGAGAAGATATTATCATTCTGACTAATTCGCGTGGTCCCAGGATGAAGGATCTCGCGGCTGTTCATCTTCATCGATCATCTAAATCTTCGTTCGTGTCCAAGCGCGAGCAAACGAGCGGCACTGTCGAAATTACGAAAAAATGGAGGAGTCCGGCTAAAGAAACGGCAATTTCACGACGACCGTACGTCGACCCGGAGAAACGAGGAACGAAGAAAAAGACCGTGAGGGAAGGTGAGAGTTAACCACCGTTATCCAGCGTTACAGGATTATTCCCGATCGGACGTACTCGCAAGAAAATGTAAATTCGTCAAGGAAGCAGCTGGCGCGAGGATTCGTGTGAGTATGGCTGTTACAACATCGAGACTTGCCGTGGATAATCATTAGTTACATTGTATGGGCCTGAACTTACCCAGATTCGCGTAAATCGAGTCTGAGGTGGTCGAGGCTGCGGGCTGCCATGACGACGAGGTCGACGAGGACGACGACGACGACGAGGATGACGACGACGACGACGAAGACGAGGACGTCGAAGACGACGAGGTGGAAGAGGAGGACGACGATTTCGAGGATGACTTGTCGCTCCTCGACGGTAGTTGTTTGGTCTCGACGCGTGGCGGTGGTGGTCTGACCGGTTTGCTAGCTGGATCCAGTCTCGACCAATCCTCCAGGGACTGGTTCCTTGGCGGTGGCGGTGGTTTTCCGGGTCTCACTGTAACATCGCGACGAATAACGTGGCTTAAGATCCTTGTAAATTCAACGCCTGGTTCGAAGAATTCGAGCCCTCAACGATCGCGAAACGAGATGACCTCTGCTCGAATATTAATCGGAACCGAAGACCCTACGCGTTTGACTAGATCGAGAGACAAAGCAGAGTTATCAAGGCTGGATGTAAGCGAGCCGAAATTACGAAGGAAATTCCGAAAAGACCGCTCCTCGATGCCTCTGAATGATAAAACGCTATCGGATAGAGCTATCGAGTGTCAAAAGGGAGACTCACCGGCAGCGTGTGATCCGACGGACAACGGCGATCGAGTTGCTCGTCCAGCGTCGTTCCTGGGACCACAGGAATCCGGTTGATCTTCGCTTATCCTGCTGATCCGATCGTTCCCCACCACTTCAACAGCAGCGCCATCCAGCTCCAGCGGATGAATAATCTCTAATCGTGGCTTGGGTTGCGGCGTCGAAGGTATTTCGTCGATCCTCGAGTTCGACACGTGACCACTGACCATATCTACGTCTTTTCTCGAGCCCATTCTGAGGAATCTCTTCAGAGAGAAACGGGATCTACCCCTCTTCTTCTCCTCTCTCACTTCCGGCCCACTCGTCAGGCTATCCTGAGACAAGGATATCGTTCTTCTGGACGCTGGATCCGACGTTTGCGCGCTGGTCGGATCGGGCAGGTCCGAGACAGCCTTCCGGAACTTTGGACTGCACGAAGAGGCTCTTTCCCCCTTCTCTTTTTCTCTCACCACCGGAGAGTCCGATTTGAAATTCGCCCCGGGATTCCTGGCGAACAGGGTGGAACTGGGAGCCAGTTCCTCCACGGAATCAGCCGCCGGTGGCTTCGGGGCCATTCTTCTTTTGTTCGGCGACCGTATCGACTCGGTCGTCGAGCACTGCGCGTCCAGAATCTCTTCCTCGACCTCTGCACTCTCGCCGACGTCTCCCGTATCCGCCGTCTGACTTCTCGCCACGCTCGAAGGCGTCTTCGGCTTGATTCCCGAGGACGTTTTCGACGCCGCCGTCTCGACGCCCGACCACTTTGTCTCCACCGCTCGACACACCGGTTTCGAGCCGATCTGTGCTCGAGACATCTCGTTCTCGCGCTGCTCCGTGTCTTTCTGACCGTTCTCGTTGAAAGGTCCGCGGACCTGGTCCATCGGTGAACTCGGAACTTGTTCCTCGGACTTGTCTTTGGTAGCCATTAGTCGGGAGGTTATCTGTTCCAACGCCGGGACAACAACGTTTGCACCTGTGAATCAGTCGCAGTCGCAGTCTTTAATCGATTGACAGAAGTTCGCGCCAGACTAATGGCAGGCATGACAGCGTTTTTCTCATCTGCTTACGTCTAATCGCGGTATAGCCGTGACTATGACGCAACGATCGCGCGATTATCGAGATGACGCTTGTGTTATACATAAAAAGACTTTACGAGAAAGAAAAAGAGCGTGTAAATCGGTACCTGTACTCTGAGCAGGTCTATTGGCAGCGTTCTGAACCGAAGGCGGAGGCAGTACGTAACTCTTCTTCGCATTAGCGTCGGACGACGCGACGGGAGTGTTCTTGGCCAAGAAATTACTCGGTTTCTGAGGTACGACGGGTTTCACCTTCGACTCCGAGTGAACCGCGCCGTGCAAGAAAGAAGGTCTCGGTTCCGTAGCGATGATCGACGACTTACACGTGTCGCCGTGATAAGCTGGCCTGGTCTCGATAGGTGGCGGACTCTTTGGCAGCGCCGGCGGTTCCGTCACGTCCTCTTCGTCCGCCTTTCCATCCGGTTCACCGGCCAACTCTCGACTTTCCTCGAAACTGAACTTGTTCTCCGCGGAAACAACTTCGCCGTCTGTTTTGCGCACCTCGAGCGACGACGGATCGTCCTTGGCGACTTTTCTCGCCTCGATTAGCGACGCGTTGCTTCTACCGACGTCCTTTCCTCGAACCATCATGGATCTGTCGCTCTCAGCCGCTTCTTCGACCTCGTTCTTCAGAGGCGACAGAGACAACTCGATACCCCTGTCCGAGGAGTCGTTCTCCACTCTGGATACCTCGAGCGATTTCTTCGCAATTTTCCCGGTGAAGTCGTACTCGATCCTGGCGCCGTTCTGCGAGACATTCCCGGGTGTCTTCGGCTTCTCGCTCTCGCTCGACTTCTTGGTCGCCTGGCTGCGAGGGATATTGGCACCCTTCTTGTCCGACTTACCAGCTTCCAGGCTCCTCTCGCCGTTGCCTGCGTTCGATTCCGTCGTTTTATCCTTCGCGTCGTCACCCTCTCCCGTCTCGTTCCGTTGGATGACAGAAATTAAATTGTTCGACGTGATCAGGGGCATGTCCACGATCTTCTCTATGCCGGACGAGTACTTTTGCTCCTTCTTCTCCTCCTTCTTCGCGTCCACGTCGATCTTCTTCGTGCCCTTTGGCGTCGTCTGCAAAATTACCAAAGATCGGGGAGAAACTTTTTAAAATAATTCCCTCCACCATTGACAGGCAAGCATTTTCTTTCTAAAACAAGACGTGATACCAACCTCTGACCTGTCGGTACTCTCGCTCGTCTTGTACCTGGTGAAATTTGTGAGCCCGTTGACGAACCCGTTCACCTTCTTGTCGCTGGGTCTCTTCGCCGTTGGCACGGATTCGTCGCCGCCAAACGGCGTGACAGAGACCAGCAACGTAGTCTTCTTGCCCTCCGAGTCCTTCTGTATCCTTCCCAGCATCAACGACGCGAAGGATCTCGTCGTCGTGGACGATTTCGTCTCGGTCGCCGGGATGATCTCTGTCAAATTAGCGGTGATGGTGTTGAAGTTGGTATTGGCACGCGTCAGGTTGCCCAGAGCCCTGTCCTCCTCGCTGTCTGGCAGCGCGTCGTCGTCTCCGCTGAACGACTCCGCGAAGTCCTGCTCGTCCTCCTCCTCGCCGTCGGAGAAGAAGTCATCGCCGCCGTATCCGATTATCTCTGTCAGGTGGTCCGTGAACGCGACGTTCTTCTTCTTCTGGTCTCTCTGGGAGACCGGCTTGCCGCGCAGGATACTCTGCAAACGACAAAGGTCTTGAATATTCCGGATTTTCTTACGGAAACTTACTATTAACCCTTTTTATGAAGTTTCGTTAACCCATTAACAGTTTATACCGTGACAGTCACGGGCAGAGCGTCAAGCACTATAGCATGAACTAATTCCTAACGAGATACGTATAAACCACGGTTTTCCTACATTTTTTATTACGTGCCGAAGTGTTTTCGGACATTGAAAAAAAAGTGGACACTTTTGGACCTGAATTCGTAACTTTACCACACTGCGAAAGGGTTAAATCTATGACGATATATAGACGAAAGGGAGGAAAGGAACTTTGAAATCTTTAACAATTTCTCCGCGAATTTGTATAATTTCGATAAGATGGACGGGTTCGTTCTAGTCGAGGAAATTATCTCTTTGACTGCCACATTGAAATCGCATGTTTCGCTCAGGACGCCACGGCAGTATTTTTATTATACAAAGCATGTAATGACAGAATAATAATTAATTGGTGATACGAGACAGCATTCTTAGCCGATAGAGCGTTTATTTTATTGACAGTCGCGGATGACCACCGTGGCGCCTTGGTAACGGTTGACGATCGACTAACTGTCAATTTTCATTAAATTTTTACAAATCTAAGCGGTCACCAATGACCACCATGGCGTCAGAGAAGAAACCGTGGCCGGTCACGAATGATCACCGCGACAGTCAAAGCGTCACGAGAATACAAAGAAACGAAATGCGGCACGTATAATGTGATCTGGAAGAAGGTTGCAACTTTCACGCGAATCCTAACGCTCGAAGACACGTTACCACGATTCTCCAGATGACAGGCATGAATTATAATCTTGGACAGCGCCGATCAAGCGTCTACCACTCGACGAGTTTCCAGGCAATTTGCAGATTCGCCGGATCCAATCCCCGACGCTTCGACAGGAATTAAATATTATTGTTGGACAGGAGCGCGATCCCAAGTCGGCTTAAGCAAGTTATAATCGTTCGTGCCACTCTATCCCGTGGTAATCCGTCTGATAATTCGTCCGGACTCGGAAGAAATTGTATTCGGGATCTGGTTAAGGGGTCTCCGCGCACACTTCGAACGTCTTATCACCGTCGGCCAGGAAATGAAAGTTGGTCGCTCAAAGTTGGATCAGCGACGTCGGTGCAGCCGGTGCAAAAAGGCTGTTTTTCCGGCGAGGAGGACGAAGGAACTTTCGGTTGGTCAGCTGGCGTTAATGATAGCCCCGATGAATTATTCAACGACGTTACTCGCGATTTTCGTCCGCAGGATTATTTCGGAACTCTCGAGCGTTCGCCGGCCAGCGCGGCAAGAAACTATCGACTAGCGGGAATATTCGTCGACGTTGTTCGCGTTTCATAACACGAGTCAGCGAATGGAGGAGGGAGGGATCATCGAAATGACGGTGCGAATTCTTTCGAAAGCGACGACTCGACAAAAGCGTCATCGCGAAGAAGCAACCTCTAACGTCGCCGCGGTCTCGTCCGCCTGGACACCTTTGCAATTTTCTCGCTCGAGTTTCACCCCTTTCCCTCTCTCACGGCTCGCCCACTTTTCCTTCAGCCAGCCCCTCTTTCGAGCGTTCCTTTCGCCGGATGCTATCGACACACTTGGATATCCTCTCCGATGTCCGCTCGGACGAGAAAGATCGCTCTCGGACGCGTTATTTTCCATCTCGCCGGATATCGAAGAGTCTCGAGATTAGCCGGCCGGAGAAAGTGCTTGGACGCGTCGCGTTTCGCATTTTCTCTCGCGTCTTTTCTCCCCTTTCGCGCGTTACGCTTTTCCCCGATCTCTTGCGCGCGAACGGGCGGGGGTTAAATTTAAAAAATGTCTCTCGCGTGGGCGAGCGATATAGTTTCGTTCGACGGAACGCGCCCACGTGCAGCGTTAAACCCTCGTGGAACAACGCCTACCCTCTCTAGCGTGGACGCTGCCGCGCGTGTCGCGCGATTAAGCGTTCACCCTTGTCACCGGCTGACGTGGACGCGTGCATCGTGTAAATTTAGAATTCCTCGACAATGAGGACGTCACACGCCGCGATTCAGCCGGTCTTCTGAATGGAATATCAACGGGGACGAGGCGGAGAGAGCCCTCTTCCTCCCTTATTTCCACCATGAGAACCGAGCGCGCAAAGTATCGGACCGCCGGCGAGATTCGCTTAATTGAAACCGACGATCCACGAACCGAACGCTTACTTCTCGGTCTCCTCGTCCGTGTTCTCGTCGGAGATTTTTCTTCCATTACCCGCTGTTTGAACATCTCCCGTCGTCCTTTAATCAAAGTTCCTCCTGCCCCTACTCCCGCGCAGCATCCGCGCGGAATCGGGTAACCGGAATTCCAACGCGTCTTCGCGGGAATAAGAAAACGCGACACGCGGGGCGGGGCAAAAGTTGGGGTGGAATTGCGGCCGGGGGAAAGGCGAACGCGATTCGTAGGCAAAAAGCTCGTTGGACATCGCGGCGTATTACGGTCCGCGTGGTTACACGTAAATTCTCTCTTCTTACCAGCGGCGACCAGGAATTCCCGACGAACGAGCGTGCACGTCGGTCCTTTGCTCGAACGACCCAGTTTTACGAACTTGATACCGCTGCCATAATGCCGCGCGATTCGCGGCCGGAACTTTGTAACAATTTTCCAGCCGGGAACAGTTAGCTCGCCGCCTGCCGATCGCGACAGCGCGCCATTTTGCTCGCGCGGAAACGATAACCGCGGCTGCCAGGTAGGCTAGTTACCCTCGATTTTCTCGTTTACCCTCGAGTTCCTTGGCCGATAACCGGCCAGCGGAATGCTAATTCCGACTAGAGACCCCCCCCCCATTACCGTCGTATCGAAGCTGGTTTTTCCACGTGTCCCGATATCATTACCAATTACCGCGACTATTCCTGCCCTGTTCCGGTAATTCCATTAGTACCAACCTCCGGATACGTCGCAGCGGAACGACCGCGAGTTTTTCCGGTTAGCAGCGGACTCCATCGGGGGGCAGAAAATTAGCAATAGATGCAAACGCTCGTACGTGCTTGGAATAACGACCGACGCAACGTCGCCTAATTAATTCCCCTTCTTCGTATCTAGATTTTAGAAACCACGCGTTTTCCTTTATTTTACTTCCCATCGAGTCGTTGCTGCTGCGAAATACGGTAGATGGCTTATGTTTTACAAGGGATACATCACAATCGGAATAACTATGCGTGCTTCCTTTGTGATAGCTTGGAGAAAGTGACTTCCACCGTTAGGTTTTATTTGAATTGCCTAAAACGCTGCAGATGCCGCTAGAAGCGTCGAGCAACATGGCGCGGGAGATTAGAAGCCTCTAACAGTTGCGATTAGGATTTCAACGATCATGGCACGCGATACGTAACCTTCTACATCGTGATACGCTATTCGGATAACAGAACGCCCGGAAAATCCGAACATCGGGACTATTCTCGGTATGCAACCGATACTTTGCCCTAAATATAATCTCTCTACCTCGAGACGAACTTGGCGTGACTAAGAGCCGAAACATCCGGCTGCCGGAATGAATTGGCCGAAAATTCCAGAGCAAATGGACCATCCGGCCAGCAGATTACCTGTATCTTAACATTATCAGTCTTGGCGTGGTTCAGGGCCTTGCCGATGTTCACCCGGAACGTGTCATCCGGCAGAGTGTGCTCCTCTCGCGGCTTGAAGCAGTTCGAACAGAGTTCCTTCTTCCAGGCGTTCTGCACGAAGCGGTTGCAGTGCGTGGACATCGTTGCTTCACTGCAGCGACAGCGAAAGTCCCGTTACATCATCACCCTGAAAGGAAATAGGCGAAATAGTAATCGTCCGATTCTTAACCGGCCGCCATGCCAGCGGCGTGCAGCGCCGGTGAACGGTGAGTTTCTTCCACGCACGTGTGCAACATCGCGCATGAGAGAACCGCTCCACCTACACGAAGCGGTGTCCCTGCCGCAAGACTGACCGTGCAACCGCGTCGGTCTTCGTTTTCCCGCAGACGCCGAGCGCCAACTTCCGGCGTTCGTTTCGATCAGCGAATTACGCTAGTCGCGACCGACGTGGAAACAAAAGAGGTTCGTAACGGGATTCCACGCGGAATAGTGACTTCGCACATTCGCCATGACCTCGCGGAACACTCCGCTTCGTAGTCGAATCGATCGCGGGAATCATCGACTCGCGATCCCTCTAACGGATCGGTTGCAACTCGGCGAGCAGGGGACGGATGATCGAGGTGGTCGACTGGCGGTGAGAATTCGATTACTCGCGCGACACCCTCTGCAAGACTATATATTGGACGGCTATTGGAATTATGGGGTTCTAATAGTAAAATAACTACGAGACGTATATATTCTCTTTCCAAGTCTTATTTCTCGAGGAAGGTATATTTGTTTTATAGGGGATTCTAAAGTAGAAGGGACGAAAGGAAAAGTAAGGGTTGCGTCCTGGACCTGCTCTACTAGTGGACTCGTCGGTAAGGCTACCTAGCAGGTCCTGCTTTAGACGGGGATACTATTGAAAAGGAAATTATATGTACAGAAAGCGGAGGTCCTCGAACCTCCCTAAAGTTGCGATCCATCTAGTGACGAGGGTGAGAATGATGGTCCCTTCTAATGCTTCTCTCGAGAGACTGATCAACCCCTCTGAGACACCAACAAGAGGATACGCGACGCGGTTCGCCCAAACTTCCAATATTTATGCAAACATTCGTTCTAGGAACTTGTATCTGATAAACCAGATTGATCTTTGTCTCCGGCTAAACTTGTCTCTTCAACGATTACTCGCACGACACCCTGTACAGGGCTCTAGAGCGCGGCCATCGCGGAACTAGTAAATTTTCGACAGCACAGTCGAAACGCAATCTCGCGATGCATCTCGAGGGTGGGATAAAAAGATAATTAAACGTCTGCTTCTTTTTGCCGCACACGTTTACAGGGAAATCTGTTGGCAGTGTTCGGGCAAGTTGAACGAAGAACGGCGGCTATAAATTGCCCGATAAAGCGATGCTTTATCGTTAACGCCGTTTCGTAGCAACGAAGTTTGATCAACGAACGAGTTGAATAAATTATCCGGTGTTCGGGAGCGCGGCGAGCGAATTTAATCCTGAATATTCCACGAAATTTTCCCTTCTTACGCGCGATGCTTCATCTCGCGAACGCCGTAACCACGGCTCTCGTTAACGGGGCTTCTCGCGGCTTCCGTTGCTCCGCGTCGAGATCGAAACGCGGCGAGTCGCCGAGGATGTGGCGTGTCTCGAAACGAAATTGTTAATAACGAACGTTCCCCTCGTCGTCGTGGATAAAGCTTCTTGGAAGTTCTCGTGGGACGTGGTTGCTCGTTTCAGAGGTGAAACGACGCGGATAGAGCGATAGAGGAGCGAGACCAGACTGCAGGAGTCGGTCAGTTTTAAAGAATTTTTCCTCGCGATGCTCCGGGCCCAGGAATTCCTCCGGGCGATCGCCAAACGGACGAGATCCCGTTTCAAATTCACGAGATCCGTGACCAACTTCCACGATTTTTATTCTTTAAACTTTCCCGCTCGAACGGGAACTTGCTCCCCCGCGGGAAACCATGGCGGAAATGAAAAGCCATCGCCATGGGCGAAGCAACGTCGAAGCTAGACGTTGGACGAGCGTCGAACAGGCCTGATTTCGGCCTGCATTATTTGCGGGAACAAATTGTTCTAATCCCAAGCGGTGGTGGGAACGATTCGGCTGACGTCGCGACGTCGGCCGCATTAATTATGAACGACACTGTATGCGGGGGACCATAGCGTCGACAAGGTTAATCCGAGCGAGAGTATGCTTTCCTGTCGACAGCGGCCACCGTGAACGCGATCAGGACAATTGACCCGAGCTGGTCGCTCGACTGAATAATTGCCCCGCTTCCGGTCCTGCTTTTATCCGCCGGTATCGCATTGGCCGACCCTCGACATTAGCCAACGATACCTTGCCGACTCGCGCCATCGTGACGGCCCATCGCCTGGGAAGATGTTCCCGGACAAACGATTCCGTTCGGCGATCCGAGCAAAATCGTAGCAACAAAACGGAGAAACCGAAGGGATATATCGCGAGGGATTAACACGATCACATCGGTGCTGATTTTTGTGTTCCTCGCTGTGGGGTGGCGCGCGTATTCAAACGCCCTAGGCCACTAATCTGATATGTCGACTGTTTATTTTGAAAGTGGCGTAAGTCAATTTGAAAAACGAAATATCACGTATATAACAATAAAAAGTTTACACTAAACTTTTGTTTCGATGGAACATTGAAGCATGAGACACTAGTGGTGCACATGCTGGTGTGAAGGTGTTAAATAAGCGAAAAGCACTATGTCGGATTTCGTCGAAGTTTGTTATGCACAAGGGGGGTCTGGTCATTGAAACTCTGCTTTACTTCTTCACTATCAGCGTTCCACAATTCGTGGACACTCGGACCACCATGACACTTCTTGGACTAGGCCCTAGTAAGAGACTGTATAGATCATCGATAGACGAAGGGCATACAGGCCCGAATCGGTCCAAACTCCCACCAGGACATGAAAATTAGAGATAGGATATGATAAAATAGATAAAAACGAAGTCAAATCGAAATCAGCAAGACAGATACGCTACATTCGATCAAACACATTTACCCTTTGTATTATAATAGATAAAAACCTATAAGGGATATCGTGGGGGTTAATAAACGAAATGCACTATGTCGGTTTTCGTCGAGGTTTATTATGCCCAGGGGAGGCTGGTGCCGAGGAAACGGTCCAAATCGCTCTGGGGTCGCCAAAAAACTGAACTTTTTTTTACGAGGGGTTGGTCGTAAAGACGTAAACCAGGCCCCATTGACTCGGGACTCTCGATGTCCCTCAGAATGTAAAAATGCTTTTCTTCTTCGCAACTACGGATATGCGTTCCTACAAAGCTTCAGGTATTCACCGTGTACAGGTATTCAGCGAAATGGTAATTTTAATTTAGGGTAGGAACAATTAGAAACGATACAATTATAGTCCGATGTCTGGAAACATGGTAAAAAATAAAGTTCTACCCGTTTGGTCTAGGCGAAATGGCAATTTTAATTTAGGGTAGGAACAATTAGAAACACGATACAATTATAGTCCGATGTCTGGAAACATGGTAAAAAATAAAGTTCTACCCGTTTGGTCTGATCGCAGTAAAGAATAAATCAAAAAGAATAAATGATTGGTCCATGACATCTCTCAACTATTTTATATCGGTCCCAAACCTCGGAGCCGCTTTGAGACAAAAGTGACAATGTATAACAACGTTGTCTTTCAACGCTTAACGGCTCGATTCGCGACATTATATACGTTATTCCGGTAAATATTAACCGGAAAACTAGCGTGAAACGGCGCGACGGATTTATTGGTTCGTCGAACGAAAGTTCATGGCGCTGCGTACTTCGGTTCCACAATGACGGACGACCAAAGCTCGTACGACTCGCGCAGTCCGCGTAGACGTCGATTAGGTATCCTTCTTTCTTGCTTTCCCGCCACGGAAATCGTTTCCTCTCTTGGTTCTCGTCCCTGGCAATGGCAGGCCGTAACGTGCCATCGGAGGAACGTGGATCAATCCGAAAGTAACTGCAGCTACCGCTACTGACCGCTACTCTAATAGCCGGAGCGCGGCAGGGACGACTCGGTCGGGAGAAAAAGAGAAATCAAGGTCGGCTTCTATGACCGGCTTGCATTACGTCACGGGTTTCGTGGAAGCGCGTGTTACACTGGACGAGTTCTCGACGCGGAATTCGCCGAGGATTCCGCAAACAGGTTCCCACGAGCTCCGCTGCCGGTCTCTCTAATCCCGAAGGATGAGCGGATCGAAGGCGCGCAGCGCGTGGACGCGAACCGTCAAGGACAAAGAACCGTAGCGACACCATGGCGCATTAACATGCGCGAGAGCTGCAAGCAAGCCGGCCAGGAATAAAGTACCGTTTCCAATCTCGATGATCCGTTACATCCCCTGCGTTCCATCCGCGCGCTGGAATCCCGTCCTCGTGGACTTGGCGGCCAGAGGACGTCGTCGTTCAGCGTCGTTTCCACGCCGCGACCACCTTTGACTTCCGCGCGACTTTCTTGCGCGTGCCACTCGTTTAGAAATTTATTTCTCGTTGCTCTGGAACGCTAGGGACGACGCGGCTAGGAAAGACACGGAAAGTAACGACGAGAAATTTATTTTGGAAAGCGAGCACTCTGCCATGATTTGTGTTGTACCCGTGGCGTGTTTATCGAGTATTCCAGAGGCGATCCATTTCGGAGACTCTCGGTTTCCGGGACGTCCCATCGGCGGCAGATTAAATCGAGCTCGAGGATAGAATGTAAACGAAGAAAGGCCGGATGGCCGGGCCCGCATCCCCGAACCCCCGGGAATATTTAGCCGACCAGGGAGAAATATCGGCGTTAAAACCGTGGGACGATAAGTTATCCGCGACACGAAACTACGGCCATGCTCGGAAAGTCGTAACAGCCTCGCTCGATCAATTTCAAGGAAATTTTTGCTCCATTTCTCCCGACCGGTCGCTGGCTGCCGCCGCATCTGCCCGGGGCCTGGAAGAAAAATTGAAGGTGACGGGGACAGGTTACGCGTTCCTGACCGCGCGCCACCAGGATTATCTTCCCGCTCAACGATCAGCTAGAACGGTTCCGTGGCAGGCCTGTCAATTGCAGCGAATTAACGACGCATGCACGCGCCTGCGTTCGACCGCGTGTTTCTCTCAAGATCACGTTCAAGAGCGTGTTCCAGCTGCGTGCTCGAGCGTCGATCCAGCCGTGGACCCCGGGTATGATCGCAG